TTCTGGACTGTAGGTTAGATGTGAAATACAATCAAAAGATTGGCGGGTAATGTTGATCGGAAGAGTTGGTTTAAAAGATTGCACGATAGGGTTTTAACTAGGTTTAGCGAGGTAACTTTGTATCCTAAAATTATGATGTCAACTCCTAATAGTATGGTTGATTTCAGTTTAACATACTTATAGATACGACCTTTAGAGGGAACCACATAAATCTTTGTGATTTTATAATGTGTGTTTTTTATATTTTATTTCTCATAGATTTTATAGTGTGTGTGTTTTGTATATTTTATTTCTCATATTGTAATTTGTATTTTTTTTTGTTAATTCTATATCTAAGAAGATCCTAATAACTTTTTATAAATGAAAAACTACGGACTTTTCGTTACGCAAGTACAACAATTGTTGACAAGAAGGTGGACTCGTGGATCTTTGGAAGGTACACGTACGGACTCAGGGAAACCATGCAATGTGGTTCACGTGAGGCTCTCATGAATGACAAGCACGATTTCTTATGCAAATGGATGGACGGGGATTAACAAGCTAAAACGTGCTGGTTGTCAATTTCCCGAACTTTTCCTCGCCTAAATATAAGTGAATATAGGATGGTATTCGAATCCTTAGGTTCAAGCCCATCTGGATTGTGCTTGTTGGACTTTTTCCTGTTCCTTAAGTTTTGAGCTCAAGTACTTTTTTTTTTTTTTTTGGGTTTTTTTTAATTTATGTATAAATTTTAAAATTTTAAATAAAATACAAAATACTCAACTTGTAGGCTGAAATTATAAAGAATGATGGTCGACCCTTTTTTTCTCTCAAAATTGTCCATTGGTCAACCTGAAATTTGAATTTTTTTTTTTGTATTTCAGTTAGTTGGGTAGTGCTTTAAAGCTTGGGGACCGCCCTACTAACGAAAAAAACTAAAACAACAATAAATTTTGGTTTGATCGAGGGGTAATTTTGAAAAAAAAAAAATAGGTCAACCGACCTTCTTTTTAATTTCTGCTTATAAGAAGAGCATTTCATATTTTACCTAAAATTTTAAGATTCATACATACATCACTCTTTTTTTAATGAGTCACCATAATCTCAGGGGTGGCAATAGGTATGGTGGTCATCACTGAAAAAATATTGTGGAACCCAGACCTGAAGTCACCGGACCTAGACCCGGACCCGAAAATATAGTATGGGACCTAGACCCGTACCCGATCGGTCCCAACTCAAAAATCAAAATATCTATGTCTTTATATATTTTATAAATTAGGACCTGAAAATATAATGTAGGACCCAGACGCGAATCCAAACCATCAGTCTAATTTGGATCCATACCCCAGGTCTAGTTTGTCCGTCGGGTCTTAGGTCAAGTCTGGGTTCATTGCCACCCGTAAACCTTATCTTTCTTTTGCAATATCTCGGTATTTTTGTTTTTGCGTTGTTTCGAGACCTTTTCTCTCAGGGTATCCTTTATCTCGGTATTTTTGTTTTTGCACTGTTTCAAGATCTTTTCTCAAAGGGTATCTCAAGGATAGCTGATGCTCATTTTTGTGGGTGGTATTTATTTTGGTTTTCCTTTTATACATGGCTCTCGAAGTAAACAGAAACAATAGGGTAGATCAAGTAGATATATAAAAATTTGAAAATCTTGAAAATTGACAGTTCAAGAAGACATTAAAAAATACACTATTTCCAAAACTTAAAATCTATTTTTGAGGTGCGTCTAATTTGATTGTTTAGAGCCTCGCACTTATATAAATGTTTTCCAATGTTATTTGTAATAAATTTATGAAAATATTGATGGTTGCAATTTCATATGTTGTTTTAATGTAATGGTTTTATATATTGGACTGATTAACATTTCGAAGGTGTGCAAACGAGCTGTGAGCACAAACGGATCAAAAAAATAAGTCCAAAAAACTAAATTGATGACAGTAAGAAGATATCATACTTCCACAAGAATGTATAGTGTCCATTTACTCCCTCAGGTATTTACTCCCTCAGGTAAAACTCAAGAGATTTTTAGGACCACAAATGTTAAGGATATAACCGGTTCAACCCATAGACCGACAACAATAAAAGAAAGAATTCCAAATTGGGGCTATAGAAAAAATAAATCTCAAGATTGAATAGAGAGTGTTTAATTTTGGTCGGTGAGATCTAAATGTTGGAAAACTCAATTCAATTTTTTTTTCTAAATAATCATCTAGTGATTATCACGTGGTTTCTAAAATTTCATATCTAAAAAAATCCTCCCAAATAAGTCTTCCACCCAAAGGACTAAAAAACCAGCATTGCTCATGCGAGAGCATAGTATACTTGCTCTTGATCGCCTCTGAATTCAGGGAAATTTTAATCTTTTCTTTTGTGCAAATTATTATTTTCATATTTATTTTTGGTAATGCTTCATGAAGATACGTGATTACATGGGAATACAATTACACAAAAAGATCAAAATTTAAAAATAATTCGTGCTTTTATTTTTTACAGTTTTAATACACCCTTGTAATTGCATGTGCACCCTTCAATTAGATTTTATAATTAGAGATAAAATATATTTTAAGGCTGTCACAAAGATTTCCAATATTGAAAGCACATTTCTTAACACTATTTGGAGGTGTGCTTTATTTCAATTGTTTAGAACCTCAGCTCTATACAAACTTCACCCTTTAACATTTTACCCATTTCTCTCGATTTAGTTTTAAAAAAGTCCATCAACACAGGCATGGCCTTAAGTTGGGAGTACTCGAAAATGAGCATGAATTATTTAGCATTTTACTCCTTTCTTTTAATTTAGCTCTCAAATAACTAGGCTAAGTAGTAGCATATGGCTGCACAAAAACAACAAAACTAAATGAAATACGCATATAAATAAGAAAATCTGGAAGATCCAAATAGAAGGTACAGTACTTTTCTTCCTTTTCTAGGCGGGTAAGTTAGGTTTCAATTTTTCAAAGTTCAAACACATACTTAATTTTTCCAAAAAAAAAAAACTCAGGACCTTAGCTTTCCAGTCGTTACGCGCTGAAGTGGGTTTCACCTTGACATCCTCCCTCCAATATTTTCCAATTAACCCCCAATTTTTATTTCTTTTACCAAACCTCCAGTCAAAAAAGTTATATTTCTATAGTTGAAAATACCCTTTATAGTACGCAATTCACCTATTGTCACACGCAAGAGTTTCTCTAACCTGGTCCAAGACAATTTGTGCCTGATGGCTTTTGGCACAAAATATATTAGTCCGACCCATATATGTCTCAAACCAGCACAAAATATGTCAATCCGGCACAAAAAATGTGTCGGACTGGCACAAACAATGTGCCTCAAACCAACACAAAATATGTCCATCCGACACAAAAAATGTGCTGACTGGCACAAAGAATGTGTTGGATTGTATCTACATTAAAGTTATGATGTGCTTGGAGAGAAAAAGTGAGAAACGTGACAAAAAAAATAGGGTATTTTAGACCAAAACAAGTCGAGTTTTATATTTAGAGGGTGGTTGAAAAAATAAAATAAAATAGGGTTATTATTGTGGTATAAATTTTTTTAGGAAAATGATGCCTAGAAAGTACAAACTAAGGGTGTTCAAAATTTTCCATAAATTTTAAACTTTCAGCATTACTTATAGATAAATGGTACAAAGATATTGGATACCAACATTGAAGATAATATAAAATGTAAGTTTTGTGTGAAGGGATAATAAGAATTTCCTCTCTCCCTGGACTCTCTCATCTAGAAAGGAGAATCTTCCATTCTAATTTTAAGTTTCACCATTACAATGCTACTTGAATTGTAAACTATTCTAATTGTTTCAATGATTTCGATCACCATGGGTTGTTTTCAAGCTTTATGGGGTTTATTTTGATACTATAGTTCTAAACATTAGGGTTTTACTTAATGGGGTAGAGGGGAGATAGGATTAATTCCCCCTTTCATGAGAAATTTGAATACATTTAATCACCCTAAGATGATAATATAAGAGGTAGATAAGAAAATCGATAATATAATATTATCATCCACTTATGATATATAATAGATAGATAGATAAGGCTAGTATAATGTGGAGACCACACATATTACCCTGAGGGCCAGGCTACCCTCTTTTTGATGAAGTTTCTATAAGGCCTAGGCTTTTGAAAACAAAATAAAACCTCACTTGAGATCCTCGCCCGAAAAGCACTTTCGACAACATAAATCTTCATGATGGCTCTAAAATCAATTTTCAGTGCTGACAATGAAATTCGAAATTGAAAAAGTACAGATCTTGTGGATCTATGAACCCCTATTTTTAGGGTGAAATAGATGATCTAGATAATTTGTTACAATATACACTATTTTAAAGCTTGAAATCCTATTTTATTTCACAAATATAATGTTCAAGCCAAGATGATTGATGTAAAGGTTTTCTAATGCTTAAATTGCAATTTTTGATGAGCTATAAGGTGAGCCTTTACTTGTTTTGATAAAGCTGCAACCTTGTTAAGCTATTTCCTTTTCTGTTTTGGACTCGCTTTCTATGCGGCCATGCCAGTATATATAAAAATGCGGGCCTCTTAATAAATATATTTTTGAGATGAATTTTAAGACTTAATTTTGAAAGATAGGTAATCTCATGGAGATCATGAATATAAATAAATAAATAAATTTTTAAAATTAAAATTAATTATTCTAATAAAAAAACATTTGGACTATTAGTTTCTATTGTTTTTAGATGTAACACCTACATATGAGTGTTTTATACTTTCTGGACCGCATATATAGAAATGCTGTCCAGTCCGCATAAAATATTTTTTATTTTTTATTTTTTTTGCGCTTGTTTTTGGCCCGCCCATGGCCACCCTGGCGCGGGATTATCATTTATCAGGCGCATAGTTCTTGCGTTTCGGTTTCGCTGACGCAATAACGCCGAGTTCGCCGAAATTTAGTCGCCCACGTGCCTCACCATTTTAGTACCAAAGATTGTCTTTTTATTATTTGTTTGATTGGCACCTTTTCCCGAGAGCAAGTGTGTGTCATGTGTAATAAATGTAAGGAAAGAGACTGTTATTTGCCTACTTCGTCGTTGAGCGGATCACTGGAGAGAAAGAGAGAGTAATAGTATTGCTCCAAAGTTTTTCTCTCTCTACAAATCAAGCTAAGGTATGCGAGTTTTGATGTCAAATTTTATCTTTTTGTGGAAAATTTATTGTTATTTCAAGAAAAGTTCATTGAAAAATCTAGAGATGGTTATTATTCGCAAATTTTTCATTGTTTTAGCCATTTTTCTGGTTGATTTCGTACTGGAATGACATATTTTGTTGGATTTCCTATCATGGAGCTGTTTTTGTGATTCATTTCTAATCAGCTAGGTCTAATTGGTCTCTTTTTTTCACGTTCTTCAATTGGTGAGCTTGTTTTTTTTTTTTTTGGTAATTTTTGTGTTTTTGTCCTTTTTTAATGGTTTCTTTGAGCCTCGAGGCTCAGCATTCCTCTTAAGTTATTTGTATTGACTCGAATAATGAAAGTAGTTCCTTAATTGTTTGTTAATCAGTTGAGTATTTAGGTTTACTAATTTATTTTTCATGAAAGGAAATAATTGATTCGAATAATGAAAGTAGTTCCTTAATTGTTTGTTAATCAGTTAAGTATTTAGGTTTACTAAGTTATTTTTCATGAAAGGAAATAATTGATTCTTTTAATCAGTGTGCAAGATCTAGGTTTAGCCCTTATGGTTTTAATTATCAATTGACTTATTTATCAATTGTTAATCAGCAGATAACCGTGATTGGATTCATTAGTCTGGCTCAAATAAAGGAAAAAATTAGCGTTGTATTGGAGACAGATTAGTAGAAAACGTGATGTTCTAATAAGATGTGCTTGATTGTTTTTTTTTAATAATGTAAGAATGTGCTTGATTGTTAGTCATATTAATATTCTTATTATTTTATATCAGATGAAGAATAAATCTTTGGACATTATTGTTTTGAACAAAATATGGATTGTTATTTATATTTAAGCTCTAAATTTATTATCCATCGACTTTTTGTTTCTTCGACGGTAAAATGTTGGTCTTGGTGTAGACTTCGCTTGAATGTGACAGGTATTCTATCCTTATTTATAGTATTTATTCAATTGTTTAATTTCCATTCTATTAAATTCCATATGTTACTGGTATTATTTTTATAATTGCAATTATTCTTTTAAAAATCTCACAGATTCTATAGCTCCAAATTTTGCTGAAAATATTTTATTTCAATTCTTCAGTTATGTTCTAGTTGGCCCTGCATGTTTTTTCTCCTTTTTTTATATTGTAAATACTGGATTTATTTTCCTTCTTTTTTCGTATCTCAGATTAGAATCTTGGAATTTACAGGTTTGTTCAATAAGTATGAGTTCCATTTGCAACAGTGTGATTTCTTGACATAGTTTGTTGATCAAGACTAAAAAATGCTAGATATAGGCTAGTTTTAATGCCCTTTTGTTGGGGTCTCTTTCATTTCTCAGCAACTTCAGCCCTCACTTTTTACACATGATCGCTTTTATTTTCTAATCAGAATCTCGTATTTTTTTTTTTTGAAGACGCTGAGAATTGTATTGATTGAGAGTGTTAGAGTACAAGAATAGGCCACCTGAGCAATTCAGGGGCTATATACAACAAAAATGACTTCTCGTGTAAAGGAAGCACAATACAAAAAAGCTCCTACGGGGGATGGTATAGTGCAAAAGCAGAAAGATGTGGAGGGGAAAGGTCCCTGTGATTGTGTTGGCTGAGTTTGCAAAAAAGAACTCACCATTGGCGTTTGTAGCACCCTCATTGGTGAGGGAGTCTGCAGATGAATTTTTTTCTCGATATTAACATGTCTCCAAATGATCGTGAGCCCCCTGCTCACGTGAGAGATTTCGGTAAACACCTAATTTTCCTTCTTCTTTTTTTTCTCTTTTCCTTATTCTTGACAGAATTATTAAGAAAAGTACAATTTTATTTTTTTATTTTTATTGTCTATTTTAGAATATTTAGAAAAACTGTATTTTCTATATTTAAAAATTCTATTCATTTTTGGAAAAAATTTTGGTGCATCAGGGAACACACCATAATAGGTGTGTCCCCTGATATCTGCACTCCAATAATTGAAGTTTGCAAATTGCAAGCAAAAGCTGCCTTTCCTCCCCTTTTCTCTCGGTCCTTTGCTAAAAAGTTGTTTTTACTCTCTCTCCCCATTCCGATGTAAACTCCATAGCTCCATACCTAGCTTTTGTGTTTATTGATTCATTGCACTATTGGAGCTCTTAATTTCTCTCTCTCTAAACTTTTAATGAAATAACATTTTACCATATTGGGTTGATTCCATAGATTTCTATTGTCAGAACATTATTGATGGTGAGAGTAGTTCTTTGTTTGGTAAATTGAAACACAAGCTGTTCTTCTACTGGTAAGATGCAAATGGCCCAGCACATATTTTCAGGTGGTTTTTATGCAAAAAATTGAGGCAATACCAGGTTATTCTAAATCATCTGAATGTATTATGGATAAATAAATACACCTGTTGGTTCTTGCTGCTTGTTGGTTTTTGTTTTTTATTTCTTTCGATTTTGTTATGGAGCACAACCAGCATGATGTATATCATGTTTTCTCAATAATATTTTATTGCTTTTTTAAGGATATTTCGGTATACCATCTTCAAATTTGCTCAGATGCTTGTAAGAAATACTGTGAGTTTCTGTTATCTTTAGGTCTTGATGCGGATAGCCTTCTTCTATTGAAGTTACTGATTATTGCAATCAGAATCTAGTATTGACCTGAATAGTTTGAGCCTTTTTGTTTAGGGGTATTTTAGTCTTAAACAACTGCAGTCCATTTCAGCCTTCATGCAAAAAAGTTGCTATGAGAATTATTCTTTCCTGGTTTTTCTGCTCTATGCTTTTCACTTCTATTTCTATTTTGTAATGGTTCTATTGTAGATTTCATTACTGAGCACTGTCAGAAGAGTTTGAATAAGGATTTTTTTTTTCTTTCTTTCTGGGCAAGTGGGTGATTTTATTCTTTGGGCTAAATATGGGGTTCATAATGTTATCTTGTTTTCTAATAAGTATTTTCTTGGGTATATAGGCATTATCATTATATCATGGCTCCTGCAGCAGTTTCGGATTCATTGAAGCCTCGAGGTAGCCACTCTTTTTGTGTGGGGGACTATCTCTGTGTGGTGCATTGATATCATACATATGTACCGGCTTTCTTTCTTTCCCTTAATCAGTATGCAGTGGTGCTAGTGAAATGAAACTGTTGCGTGCTTCCCTTCGTAGAAGAAAGAGTGGACTGTGCTTTGTGTTTGTATATGAGTATGTAGAACAGATGATGCAAATAAAATTAGCTGAATTATTTTGGCTGAAATCTTTCCTCCAAATTGGAGCTTCCCAGCCAGATTTAGATGGAATCTAATAGATATGTAAAATATATTTGAAAAGAAAAAGTTACTAAACCAGCCTAAATAGAGCCATAGAATGTGGGATATGGTCTATGTAACTTTGAAACGTCTCAACCTTTGCCATACCTGTGGGCTTAGTTTTGATTAGAGTATTCTGAAAGTCTGTCAACCTTACTTGCTCAAGATGCCTAACTTTACTTAAGTTGCTTTCTTCATTTGAATTCTGTGGTAAAAATTCAATATGAGATTCTCTTTGTGTGGTTAGATGAGGTATCGTGTCACTTTTGCAACATGATACCCAACAGTTGCATGAAGTCAGGTCACCTCATAATGGACTTGTTTAAGAAAAGAGTTCCATTTTTATGGGGGGTTTTAATTTGAAGGATACATGTTCTTCTGCAAAATGAGAAAAATCAATTTATAAGCTTCTATTGTTCTTACATTTTACATTTGCGTGTTGTGCTTCTTAATCTACTTTAGTCATTCTGAAACTTCTTATTGTTTAATTTGGACAGATGTTTGTATTGTTGGTGTTGCACGTACTCCAATGGGAGGATTATGTGGTTCTCTATCATCATTGCCGGCAACCAAGCTAGGGTCTATTGCTATTGAATGTAAGCCCTTCTTATCCCTTATTTTTAATTATTTTTTCTTTTATTGTTTTTGAGATTAGTGATTGTCCTATACCGGGGTTTTGCCTATTGGCTTATAACAAGCTTCTGAGAATTGAATCCCAGCTTACCCTCTTCCGGGGGGGGGGGG